CCAGCACGATGGAGATGGCTGTCGGCATCTAGAGTTTACAAGTAAATCATAATCTGGCCGTAAATCATTATCTGTACTACTAAGTGAAAAGATCTATGTGCATCATCGATGGCACCTAACCGGACTGCGTGGAAGCCAACTCGGCCGCTAACCAGCAAAGACGAGCGCAGAGAGAACGCGCACTATGTGCGCGCCGGAGAGGCGTTTCTGAACCCCACGAATGCAGCGAGTCTGTTTGGCATATTTTTTGTAGCCTATGCAAGTGTGTGAGGCCAATGACCCTACGACCACTCTTTTAGCGAAAGCGAGTTCGTAAATGGTAAGGTGGTAGACATATAGTTTTGAAGACGTATGCACATGACTCTCCGGTCTCTCTCGTCGAGATCGTCGTCGTAAACAATGTTTTTGGTGTACTTACGGCCGTCGACATTGGATTTGGAGTTGAGTACTAAGATCCGGATATTGGCACGTGCCTGCACAGCATGGGTTGTGGTGTTGATACGTCGAGATGGGGAAGCTTTAGGTCACGCAGAGCTCACCGAGTCCTTGAAGCTACAACTAGCTCCATTGTTACTCGTAGCACGCGTGACATCGCAACATGCAGCTGTCCGTATCCAAAACCTGGTTCCGAACTCCAACGCGAGGGACTGTCTGACCTTAGGACTTGTCAAGTAATAGTCCTGGCAAATGCGAGACAAAGAAGGAACTGTAAACGCTTGAGCTCCAACGGCAGCGTGTTGTGTGGACCTTCGTGATAAGCGTGATGCGAGGTAGAAGATAACCTCGCCTCGCCAGCTTGTGCGTGGGTCAGTATTGTAGCCTCCATGCATCTATCTCGTAAAGCGCGCACCATGAGCCAAGTTCCATAGCGTAAGCGGCATCTTTTAGAGTTGACAACCCCAACGGAAAGTCGATTGCTGCTTCTTCTTGCAGGAGGTCTGCGTCGTTGTTTGGTGTTCCTTATGTCTCGTGCCGGAGCTCTTTCAATCGCCACCTCGCCTGCAGGCTGCATGACAACTGAGAGTTGAGCATATACGTAGTTGATGACGTAGATCTGAGCACAACGTCGGGTTTGGGTATCGTTAGTCGATTCAAGCGGCCAAAGTAGTGGTACAAGTCTCCATCGATGGCAGAAACCCTGCGTCCAGTGCTGGGGTCAGTTTCCAGCCGAGTGAAACTCAAATACTGCATTGTACCGACGCAAGTTGTCGACAAAGCTCTTAATGCGTAGTAGCGCCGCGTATCGGACGAAGCAGTTGACACCATTGACGCCCCAGAGTGGCATCTCAACAGAAGCCACATACGCAGCATGCGAGGCCAGGTTTTTGCCTGTAGGTGGTAGGTAGTGTTTATGGTAGACACAATGGCATCATTGTTGCAGCAAGGTGTGTGATTTCTGTAGCTGGCAGGAGAATCTGTAGCTGGCAGGAGATTGACACGCGTGTTCGACGCCGACCCCAATATAGCTGCAGCAAAGTGAGCCGAGCTTGCACGAGGCGTGCTGCGGAAAACTCGCACACATACGTCAGCAGCTTGTGCTTGCGGAGAATGCGCTTAAGTGGTTCGTGTATCGTGTGCGGCGTGCGCTCATGGCCTCACGGCTACACTGTCTAATTCGCCCAAGTAATCATCGCCAATAAGAACATCGGCAGCATACATCACCACGGTGAAAGCATCTGCCCCGGCATCTTCATCTCCTGCGACCTCTCGGGAACATTTACACTTAACCTACCACTAGGGTGAGCCCAGTGGCCGTACGGCCACTCCCTAAGCGTATAGGAGTTGGTGAAAGATATTTTAGTAGGCTTATATTCATGGAGACGTAGTGTTCATCGCTGTGTGGTCTGTCTCGTCGAGACCTTCGTCGTAAACGATGTTTTTGGTGTACGTACGGCCGTCGACATTAGAGAGATTTCGGAGCCGTTCTGTACCTGCACCCACTGAAAAAACCTCTCAAAATTGAAGCATGTACAGAATCCCGTTGAAACTCGATGTTGAAATCCTTAAAAATCGCGATATGTGTGGAACGCGTTCTGCACCTGCAGCGGGGCTTTTCGGATTGCGCAAACAAGTGATTGCGCTGCGCCAGTGCGATTTGTAAACACACGGGTTGTGTTTTGTGTGGAGGGGACAGCATGACGGTCGAGTGCCATTTTGACAAGCCATGCCACCGACGGAAGGACCAAAGCGCCGCAACTGGACGGCCGACGACGACCTTATCCTGCTTCGGCAGGTGGGCCTCGCGCCCCCGTTCCTCGCCGATGAAATCATGCCGGGTTGGGGCGCGATCGCTACGGCCCTCGACGAGTGTGAAGACTTCGATCGCGTCATCGATGGCAAGGAGCTGCAAAGCCGTTTCAACCTCCTTATCGAGAAGCACCGTAATCTGGTTGCCCCGATTGACGCCCCAGTGCACGTTGGTAAAGAACATCGCCAAGCTGACGATCTTGCCGACGGGCGTGAGCATGATCTTCTGGTGCATTTTGAATGCGATCGCGGCCGATAGCGTCTTTATGCGAGCGCAAGACGCTTCGCACATCAAACCGAAAGGAGAGTATAGCATCTACATCACGCATCTCGCGAAGAGCGAAGCGGACGTCAGGTACTAGTGGATGCTCAACGGTCCAACTAGCCATGAAGGCTAGCAATCGCACTCGCGCAAGCCGCTTCTTGCGATGCCTTCTCCACCGAAGCAGCAGGAGGAGGAGGTGATCCTGCTGCATCCTTTCCGACAGACGTGTGGTTTGAATGAAAATGACAGGTTCATCCGGATAATGAGCTCATATTCGTAACCGTGGTGCGGGTGCAGGTACAGAACGGGTCCGAAATCTGTGATTCCAGTCTCCGTACACTTCCTGTTCCCACAGAAAAAATCCGAAATGTGTGGGTAAAGACGATTCCGAAATCTCTGTATTGGATTTTGTGTTGAGAGCCAAGATTCGGATGTTGGCTTGTGCCTGTACGCGTCGCATTGCAACTTAGAGCTGCCCGTGTGCGAAAACGGGTTCAGGAAGTTAAACACCAACGCGAGGGATCGTCTGCCCTTGGGACTTGTTAATTAATAGTCATCGCAAATGCGAGACAAACAGGGAACTGTAGACGCTTGAGCTGGAATGGTAGCGTGTTGTGCGGACCGTCGTTGATATGCGTGATGCGAGGTATGGAGACAACGTCGCCAGCATGCGCACCGGTCAATATAGCCTCAATGTATCGATCTCGCAAAGCGCGAATCATGAGTCGAGTTCCATTGCATATACCTAGTTTTGGGCACAGGTTGCGCAAGAGCATGACAGGGGCGTTGATTTTGAGCTCGAGAAGGTGCGGTAGGGAGCCGGCGATGTTGATGGAGTTGAGAAACTCAACTGGAAAGTTGATAGCAGCTTCTTCTTGCAATAGATCGTCGTCGTCGTTCCGTGTAGCTCCTTGTGGCTCGATGTCATGTGCCGGAGCTCCTTCAATCGTTACCTCGTCTGCACGTTGCATGGCAACGTTGATGCCTAATGTCGATCGAGGCGAACAGTGTTCAACCGCAGCTGGCACTTCGTCCTCGAGAGGTTCAACGCTATCGGCCGACGCAGGTGTGATTAGTTACTGGCACTTGCGCCAGTACCATAGCGTTGACGGAAGCGACGAAGTCATTTTTTGGCGCCAACATCGCTCGTTGCGAGAGATAAGCTGGCAGCACATTGATAATAGGTATGGACGAAAGGTCAGGTCAGGGTAGACGAACTGAACCAAGTCTGTTAGCGCGTGCGTAGTGTCACTGTCTATAATCAAGTCGAGACAGTGATACCACACCGACGACATCGTTGTTGCAGCAAGGCGTGTGATTTTTGTAGCTTGCAGTAAAGTCACGCTTGGACTCGCACGCGGATACAATGCGGCACCACAAATGGCGACAGTTCCCGTTGCCAAAAAAGCAGCGTGTCAGCCAATCGAACCCAGGCACTAATTACACGCAACGTCCATTTGGTTCCAATATACTTCAGCAACATCGCCGGAGCACACAGAGACCCAAGCGCCGCTCAGCGGCAGCGGAGTGCATTTTAATCAAATTTTAACAAAAAATCATTATCCGGACAGTTCGGATACGATGGCTTCTCCCGCATTATCCGCCGCAGGTTTGTATGTGCGTGACACACCCTCATCTCTCATATACCCTTCAACGAACGTCTCTCGATTGCTGTTGCATCCACAAGTCATGCAGCGCCAAAACTAAACGGCGGTATTACCGCTGACTCGCGTCCTAATTGTTATGGCCATGAAGGACAACACTATTTGCTAACTCAACATTCGTGTCGGTGGATATTGCTGGATGTCGCTTCTCCAGACGTTAAAACGGATATCCGGATATGCGATTGGGCGAGATCCGGTAGCCGCTGGGAATGTTAGCATTTTGATTGATAAAAACAATCCGTACTATATCGAGTATCCGTTATTGTGATTGGTCAAGAGAGGCAAAAGATTGGGTGTCTAGCGATGCTCTAAATTATTTATATACGTGCACACTTCGTAGTCATTAAAAGCGTGTTTGTGCATCATAGATTCTTCACCAGTCATTTTATGTCAACGAATACAATACAACGCTGTTAAAATTGTACTAGCGAACCTCGAAGTATTTCTCAAGAAGATCATAATAATCAGGAAAAATTGTTGGAGTCTTCTTCCGTCAACACTGCGACTATACTTAGCAAAGCACTCGAGTGAGCCCAGTTACAGCCACTCTTTTAGCGTATAGGAGTTGGTGAATGATATGGTATATATTCAGGAAGACGTAGTGCTCATCGATTTGTTGTCTGTATCGTCGAGAACCTCGTCTTCAATGATGTTTAGGGTGTACGTACGGCTGCCGACATAAAATTTCGAGTTGAGAGCCGACGTTTGTATGTTAGCGCTTGCCTATATACGTGACATTGCAACGTGGAGCTGCACGTGTGCGAAAACGAGTTGCAGAAGGTAAAGGACTAACGCGAGGGACAGTCTGACATTAGGACTTGTTAGTAGACAACGCAAATGCAAGACAAACAGAAAACTGTAGACTCTTTATCTGGAATCACGGCATGTTGTGCGGATCGTTGTTAATGAGCGTGATGCAAGAGTGTAAATACAACGTCGCCAGCGCGCAGAGATCAATATAGTGGCATTGTACGCAGCTCACTCCCAACGACCAAGTGCTAGAGCCAACTCCCACGCATTCAGGCGTAGCGCTACGTATGCGAAGTCTTTGTGTCATAATGAAGATAACGCGGAACACGTTCATATACATATATATAATGCATCGACCTCGCGAAGCGCGAACCATGCGTCGAGTTCCATTGCTGCGCAAGAGCATGACAGTGGCGTTGTTCTTTAGCTCAAGACGGGTTGAACGCTACCGGCCGACGCCGATGTTATTCATCTGCTACTAGCACTTACGCCAGTACCATAGCCTCCACGAAAGTGACAACATCATTTGCGCCGAAATTGCTCGTCGCTGCAGCACAATAATATGTTAGAAGTCAAGAAAAGCAAAATAAACCAAGTTTAAAAGCGCGTGCGTCAATGACCAGGTTGTCGGGTGGGCAGGTATAATCTTCACCAAAGAACAACGACGCTCTTCTTGAGAAATACTTCGGGGTTAGCTAGTACTTGCATAGGCTACAAAAAATATGCCAAACAGACTCGCTGCATTCGTGGGGTTCGAGAGAGACCGGAGAGTCATGTGCATACGTCTTCAAAACTATATGTCTACCACCTTACCATTTACGAACTCGCTTTCGCTAAAAGAGTGGTCGTAGGGTCATTGGCCTCACACACTTGCATAGGCTACAAAAAATATGCCAAACAGACTCGCTGCATTCGTGGGGTTCAGAAACGCCTCTCCGGCGCGCACATAGTGCGCGTTCTCTCTGCGCTCGTCTTTGCTGGTTAGCGGCCGAGTTGGCTTCCACGCAGTCCGGTTAGGTGCCATCGATGATGCACATAGATCTTTTCACTTAGTAGTACAGATAATGATTTACGGCCAGATTATGATTTACTTGTAAACTCTAGATGCCGACAGCCATCTCCATCGTGCTGG